CCCCAAAACCCCAAAACCCCAAAACCCCAAAACCCCGTAGTAGAGAGAATATTGAAATACTTTATCTCTTCCGTTGTTTTAATTTGAATCGCTTGCAGTATTCTCGAGGTCGGATGGTGGTCTGTCTACTGACTTTCTTCCGATTTGAACATCTCCATCAAAGTCTTCATATTTCATAACTCTTCTAGCAGACCATCTTCTGTAACAAAATGCAGCAAGGATTAGTACAGTAGTGAGTGAAAGGCCAATTATGATGAAAAATATAACGGTTTTTGGGCTATCATCATCTTCATCACCAACTCTCAAGAATAAGGTAGTATTGTAAATGGTAGATTCGCCACCAGCTCTGAAAGATGTATATTTCAATTGAACATCATATTCAAAGAGAGACTCACGGCTTGGAGCAACTCCATAAATAGTGTCGCCTGAGGGAACAATTTTTCCTTCTTCTCCTTTTGGTCTATAGCAGTCATCATCGTCTCCATCTTCATAATCATCCTCATCTTCACAGTATAAGCCTTGCTTAAGATCTACTTTGACAAACTCAAAGAAGTCAACATCAGCTCTTCTCTCAACCATGACATCTTCTACTGTGAAGGTGAATTGCTGTAATGGGTCCAAAGGATACGGAGTCTCTAGGGCGATACTTGAGTCATACTTGCTAGCAAGTTGCATCTCTTCTACATCTTCAATTTCATGATCCAACTCGTTCATCATGTTATCATAATCAACATCTTCGTTATTCTTCAGTCTTTCGTTAATCTTCTTCTGGAATCTCTTGATGATCCTTTCTACGATCTTCTTGTCTTCGATTCTTTTCAGCAACTTATCAAATTTTTCATTTGTTGCAATGACATAGTTGATAAGCTCCTCTTTCTGCTCATCAGTAGCATTTTTATACCCAGATCCATACTTTTTGATAAAGTCTTTGACCTCAGCTCTGAACTCTGTCAGGTTGAATTTGGCAGAGTTTCCAAGCTGATCAGCTCTCTTCTCAAATTCTGCAAAGAACTTCTCTGTCTCTTCATTATCAGGGATTTGGTCGAAGATTTTCTTGGATCTCCTCTGAAGTTCAGCCTCAATTTCTGAAATGCTTGCCTTATCCTCAACCATCTGCATGACCTTTTTGACCATTTCATCATACTCTTTGCTGATGTGGGGGTATTTTATGAGGAATTCAGCAAATTTGCCTTCATTTTCCTTTCTCCAGGCCCAGTTTTGGCTCTTTTCATCTATTTTCCTCGTCACATTTGCAAGGATTTCAGGCATTTGCTCCTTAATCTTCTCAGCTAAAATCATAAATTAACACTATGATACGTTATAAAGTTACTCAAATTGTTTATTTAAGTCATTTTCTGGATATTTTTGTCAGAAATGTAGGAATTCAACTGAAAAATACAAAATTGGCACTTGATAGCTATCCCTCAAGTAATCCTGTACAGCTTAATGACCACTATTAATTTCAATAGTGATGCCATATCAAATACTTACTTTGAGAAGGGAGGATAAAATGGCTACCAACCACTTGATCAAAAGTCTTCTTCAGACTCTTCTCCAATTTCTGCTTTTGCTCTTCGGTTAGAGTCCCATTTTGGTTCTGAATTTCTACAAAAATTACCAACCAAACCTCCATTGTCACTTACCTTTGATTTCCTCTATTTGCTTATGAACTCGTTTCCTAAACTTGTCCTGAATCTTCTCTTTAAATCTCTCGAAGGCAGTGCCTACTTTCTCAATGACTTTCTTCGTATCCTTCTTAACTTCCTCCGCAACTTTAGAGCTAGTGCTGACCACCTTCTGCTTTAGCTCATGTAATTTTTGCTTAAAACTATACACAGAACATTAACACCTGGTTCTTTAACGAGGACATAACATAAGGGTATCTAACTGTTGAAAATGCCCGATACACTCCAAGAGTATTCTCCGTTGAGAAATAAGGAAGGCATTCCTCAAATGGAGGTTATGATACAGCCAGAGAAAAGCGCTGAAATGTACGGTATAAGTTATGTGCTTAAATGTCTTCTAATAGTAAGGTTTTAGAGACTTATTTGGGCAGATTTAAAAACTGTATCTGGGTTATGTGTTAATTTAATAGATTTGAAAATATTCTATATATGAGGGAGGAAAATCAAAAATAGGCTCGGAAATAGGTCTGATTTAGAATTTTTAAGGGAAATTTGGGACTAGAGGTGGAGAAATTGTAAGTTAGACATTTTGGGAGGGTAATAGGGGTTTGGAGGAATTGATTGGAGGGGTTATAAGGGGTAGAAGTAGCTTACCTGAATGCTTCACTGTTCTCCACCATGAAGATAATAACTATAATTGATAATAGCAAGATTGTATGTATCTTTTTATAAGCCATCTTCTAAAATTATATTATTGATTTCGCTTAATTTAATTTAGTGGGGTTTTGGGGTTTTGGGGTTTTGGGGTTTTGGGGTTTTGGGG